AAAACGATGTTCATTAAATTTTATATATATATATATATATATATTAAGTCCTCTTATTAAGATTTTGCTTTAGGCCTCCGATGAGGTTGGGCCGCCCCTGACTGTAATTATCGAGTGTTTAAAGGTCATTATAACAATATCTAACTTTCAAAATTATCTATTCAGAAATCTACTAGTCAATAGTAGAAGAGAGCTTGATTTATCACATAAAGGGAATACGATTTTCACCAGTTGCAAACATGTATTGAATATGCTATTGTTTTAGCCTTTAGGGAGCGTTTTCTCCTTAAATGGGTCCTATATGTTGCAAATCTAGATTAGTCAAGCAGTGGATTTCGGATGCTATGCAGTTAAAAATAGAGAATATGCTATCTTTTAAATAATGTAGTTAAAAAGCTTTGACTTTAGCGTTAGAATTGGAAGTCTTCTGGTCTTGATCTCGAGTCTCGACCTTCATCTACATATGTGTCCAGTTTACAGAAAGAAAATGATAGGAAGGAGGAATCGAACAGACGCCAAGGGAATATACACTTTGAAATTCGGTTTGCTTTGTCAAACATTAAATTTGACAATAGAATTAGCAAGATTTTTCTAACATTACTTATATGATACTCCTTTGATAGGCTTCCTCAGTAGTTTTTAGAGACAGATTTAAGATTTAGAGCCCGTTTGAATTAACTGATAAGCTTGAAGTGCTCAAAATATTTTTCAGTGCTAAGGTTAAATTTTTTAAATAAGCATTTACGTGTTTGGATAAACGTGCTGAAACTGATAATAAGTAGTTAATGTGTTTGGTAGAAAAGTGCTGATAAGTTGTTCTTTTATTAAAATGACTAAAATATCCTTAAAAACTTTACAAAAATTTATAAATTAAAAAGTTTCTTTGTAAAGAAAAAAGATGAACAACGAATATGGAATGAAAAGAAAGTTAGAAAATTTATTTTGGGAAAAATATTTTGTAAATTATAAAATATTATTAAGAATAAACTAGTAAAAATCTTGGTCAAACTAAAAGTGTTTATACGCTAAAAAGCTATAAGTTAGGGGTGATTATGACTTATTTTAGCTTATAAACACTTGACTTATAAGCACTTTGGGTGTTTACCAAACGCATTAATAAGTCAAAAAGTACTTATAAACCAGTTTGACCAGCTTATAAGCCCAAACACCCTCTTAATTTATATGTTCATATCTATTATTTATTACAATTTTAGTGAATTTTTCGGTCATAAATTTATACTCTACATTCAAAATATTGAGTTAAGATCAACCAGTACCTCAAAACTCTATCCGGCCCCTTGCTTATATAGTGATATACAATGTGGATAAATATGTTATCAGTGAAAATTTCATAGAAATAGCACATCAAAAAATCTTGTCAACCCTTAAGTTTGAACCATAAGATTTCATCACTAAGCAAAGCCGAGGGCGCTATTTTAATTTTTTTTATCACATATTTTGTTTCTGAGAATAGTAGGCCTAACTGAAAAAATGTGACTTTTTCAAAGAACTTTTTTTTCCACTACAGAATGGACAAGGGAAGGGGATCAAGGACTTGTATTCAACTTACACCAATTATATCAGAAATTCCTACTAATATCATTATACTATAAGTTTTGGTGGTGTATTAAAAACATTAAACTAAATCCTAATTTTGACACAGAACTCATCAAGTTTCAATTAATATGAAATTCTGAACCTATTGTTTCAAAAGTGTTATGAGTTTAATAATATAAATTCATAAGTTTAAATTTTATTTTTACATATTAATATAACTATTTACCCTGGTAAATTCCAACTATATTTGAAAAATATAATGTCAACTATCTACTCCGCATATGACAAACTGAGGTTAACATATACACCCTTTATCACAATTTATGTGATATTCTTTTATTTTTAGTCTGTTCTAGAAAGTTTAATTTAACTTTAAACTTTTTTATTTTATCCTTAGTGAGATAAATTATAGTCATACAAATATTTATTGCTTGTTCTAGACATAACTTTCAAAAGTCTTTTTTTTTTCTTAAATTATATTTACAATCAAATACTATCAAATAAATTGAGATGTACATGTACAATCAAATACCATCAAATAAATTGAGAAGGAGTATTGCTCGTGATGTACTCAAGGGCGGCGTTAAAAACCAAAGTAGGTGTCTATATTTGTTATCAGAAATTCTAGCTCCGCCTGTATTTACTACTAAAGAATTAAACTTTGTGGAGACAAAAGCAAAAGATAACTATTTAATTCATCTAAATTGAAAATCTGGATGTCAACCATGTAAGCTGGAAAATTGCAGGGTGACAATGTCAACTATCTACTTTGCATATGCAGGCAACTGAGACTCAAATAGCTACCTAAAATATATAAAATACTACTCATTATTGTACTACGACATTGTACTAAACCTATGTGGAATCAATTATGCATTAGATTATTGCTAGGAGTTTTTCCCGTATTAGAAAATCATATGAAAATGAGAGAAAACAAGAAACAAAAATGAGCACATCATCATCAGAATGAAATTTGAACAAGATCTTACAGGATTTAATTGACTCTGCAACACACCAACTGACTCCATAACAGCACAGAGGTAAGTTCCCTCTCTCTCATCTTTCATTCTACTCAATGTTCTTGATTAATTTTAGAGTGGTGAACTTATGCACTTCACAAGATTTTGGGATTTTCCAAGTGTATTTTTGCTAGTACTACTTTTTTACATAGCCATATGCTCCAAGTAAATTTGGTTTTGACATTTTCTGATTAATGTTCAGTAGCAACAATCCGGGTAACAAGCACTATTGAAACAGTTAGAATTGTTGAAAAATCTGTTAATTGCTTTTAAGAACGGTATGATATTGCTTATTTGGGATAGTACTGTCTGATGCTGAAATCCCACTCGAGACAATGAAAAACCTGCAACCAAGGGTAATAGTGGGATGAATGAGATCTCTCCGCTTTTTATCAGAGGTCTCGGGTTTGAGCCTTGGGAATTGAGAAACCCCTAGTAGGAGCTCTTCGTCTTTTAATGCCTTATACGGTGCAAATATGGATTAGTCGGACCAGTGAATTCTCAATACCGGATGATATAGAGAAAAGGACACTAAAAAGCTAGCGTTGACTATGATTCCATGAAAAGAAAAGTGGTTACTCTTTTTGTTAACAAAAGGAAAGTGGTTAATTTGAACTATGTATAATCTGGCTATGCCTGAAAATGCACCTAGTATTCAAAAGGAGATAAAACTTGCACACAATATCATCAGTGCCCTTTTCTTGGACTGGTGTTCTGATTAATACTCTATGTTGTAGAATGCATTGCTATAATTTTTATGTTGGATTGTGGCAGGTAAATATATATATATTTCAGGATCTTAAAGTCCTCTGGGGGATAATGTATGCTTTAAAGAGCTGGTTTTGTTCCATGAAATGTAGACGTCCACCTGGTTTCGAGGACCATGACTTATTAGCTTCTGAGACTTCCTGTGAGTTAAACAATGTCTCTTTGCCCCTACTATTTAGGCAACAGGGTTTTGAGGCTCTTATTTAATTTCTTGTTTCTTTCTTTGGCTTGAGCTTGTTTTTGTAAAGTTTAGTATTCTCTAAAATTTATAACCAATTGGATAGTTTTAGACATTCAATCAGAAGAATCTTATAATCACTATTATTACTTTGTCTTATCATTTTATGTTATATTTGCTTAGCCTTCAGCAAATTGAAGTCTTTCCTCTAAATAATTGGTAATTTATATTTCCTAGCCAATGAAGCTATTGATGTCTTCTTGATTACTTCCAGCAGAGTATGTGTCCAATGGAAATTTGTTATGATGTTAAGTATCTACTCAATCCATAATTTTAGCATCTTAGAGTGTTCCATTCATTTGTTGCAGTTTCTGTTAATGAAGTGGATGCATTGAAAATTCTGTACGAGAAAATAAGCAGCTCCATAATTGATGATGGTCTTATTCATAAGGTAATTTCATCATGCAAAGTTCACTCATTAGGCTTTTATGTAAATTGAGATGTTAAGGGCAGAGCTGTTGAAAACGCGCTATGATCAACAGTCTCAAGAACAGTAGGACTTGATCCATTGGAATCAGCCAATGTATATGACCACGACACGTTAAACCAAGTTTCCAAGATGCATCTGCTTTCATTTATGAGTTTCTTCATTTTTAGTTACAAATATAACAGTGAAAGAAACACTGAAACTTGGTGTTCTTTGATTCTAAGGGTATGAAGTTTAGAAGACCAGTTTGGTATTTTCAAAAAGTTCTTTGTTTCCCTTCCTACTTCTTCTTCATGACAAAAAGGCTACCTATATGATAATCCCACTTTATGATCTAATCTTTTAGTGCCTGACGAGGCAATGTCATAACCACTTTGAAAGCACGTTATCTTTGATAACCATTGTGCTAAAAATTAAACTTTAATTCGTTTTTCAAAGATCTAGTTTAATGAGGCAAGTGATGCACTTTACATGTCCTCCAATGATTTTAAAACTTCGGGTTATGAGATTGTGATTTATGTCTATATCTTCAATGCAGGAAGAGTTTCTCCTTGCTCTTTTCAACTGCAGCCCTAAGCAGAATCTTTTTGCTCAGAGAGTACGTGTTTCACCCTTTTTGACGGAATTCATTAGACATTTCTTCGCCAGTAATTAATGTGATTTGACTCTCTGGAAAAATATTCTCTGTTATAAACGGCTTGCAAATATAATGATGGGTCATCTTAATGGTCATAACTGCATCAACAGTTCGAGTAGTTGCTATATTAACAGGCCATTCTTGAAACTGTTAAAAGTTCTCTGTTTCATGTTGTATGATTGTCCAGCATCTTGATCTTTATTCTCCAAACAAGATCCTATTCCTTCTTGTCACACTATTGCAGCTGTTTGATTTGTTTGATCTTAAGCGTAATGGGGTTATTGAATTTGGAGAATTTGTTCGGTCGTTAAGCCTATTCCACCCAAGGGCTCCTCAAGCAGACAAAATTGAATGTAAGAGATATGTTTGAAATTTCTCTTATAAAAAAGTTGTTTGGAATTTCATTTCTTCTCTTTTCTTGTTTTTTTAAATTCTTTTTAGTGAGGCATACTTTCTTGTACTTATAAGTACAGCAACATGTCAAACATTTTTTCTCCTGTTGCTGACACTAACTTCAGGAATAATTTTGTTCCAGTTGCATTTAAGTTGTATGACTTGAACCACACTGGATACATAGAACGTGAAGAGGTGAGTAGCTTTAACGAAACATACTTGTTGAGTTGTTTCAATTATCCTACCACTCCCTTAATATTATCACTTACAATGCATGCAACATGTAAATTTGAATTTAGAATAATCCCAAATAATCATCAGGTACTAGTCAACTGATTGCTTCTTCTTTTGATAAATATACTGCTAATGAAATGTTCACCGTATAGGCTAAAAGAATTTGAACTAGTTAAAGCTACTGCTGCTTGATCTTACCGGAAACATAACTTGAATGTTCAACAGAGAATACTACTTATTTATGACCCCCTATCAGGATACAGGCATCAGGCATTTTAAATGGTCATAACCATGATTTTCTTGCTTAATCTTCATTAAATGTGTCAGAATAAGACAACAGAAGTTGAAAAAATATGTTAAAGGAGTTCAAGGATGAAAACTTTTCTTTTTTAGGAGGATGATCATATCCTGATGATTTCACATATGATATGAATGACAGCCTTTCTTGAAATAGGAAGTAGGGAAGACTGAAACTACTTGACAGCTATGTTGCTCGGACTCTCCGAAAATGTCGCTGGGTGCGTGTCGGATCCTCCAAAAATAGTGTATTTTTGGAGGATCCGACACGGGTGTGGTAGCATTTTGAAAAGTCCGCGCAACATAGCTTGACAGTACACACTTCACTACATAAATGGTTAAATACATTATTGTTTACACAGTCGGTGTATCTCAAATTCGAGATGCTCAATCTCTCTTTTGACTAGTTTGTTCTACTGTGGAAACTTGTGTAGCTGAAGGAAATGGTATTTGCTATTCTGGAAGAATCAGAATTGACACTTCCAGATGATGCTATCGAAGCAATCATTGATAAGGTGGAGAAGAGTCACTTTATTTCCATGTTAGTCATCCTAAGTATATCTGTTTGATATCTGATCTGTGTGATAATAAACAGACATTTCTAGAGGCAGACACGAATCGAGATGGAAGGATTGATCCAGAAGAGTGGAAGGAATTGGTTATAAGATGTCCTTCTCTCATTAAGAACATGACTCTACCATGCTTAAAGTGAGTTGAAAATTCTAATTAAGTATATACTATTATTGAAGCATAATTTGTTCATTTCCAAATCTGCATTATCACATTCTAACTAGAAATTCTTGATGTCACTAGCCTTAGAAGATTGTTTTTTTTTTTTTTTAAAATTTTATTTACAATTCCAGGGAAATAACTCAAATGTTTCCAAGCTTTGTGATGACAACAGAAGCTCGAGATTCAGAACTAGTGTCCTGAAAACTGACCGGTGCCAACTGCCAAATTCTATCCTGCTACTAGTGTACTGATCAACAAATAAAGTACCGGTCCAATTTTCCCTTTTTCTTCATTTTCTGGTCAATAGTTGTCTGTCTGTTCTTAGGCAACCATAAACTGTATATGAAATGTGTTTGCTATATATGAGAGATTGGTACGGACTATAGCCTAACTAAGGATTTTGGTAATATTTCCCATCTAACTGTTCGTAAAATTTAATTGATGTTATTCATATATATCGATCTTAGTTGGCTAGAATCCCAGTACATATTGAAAAAAGAACTTGTGAATTAGCTTAGAGGATTTGTGATTAATTTACTCATATCATTTTCATGTGTAGACGTGGACTACAAAAGAGCATCTATTCACTGAAAAATTACTAATAAGGGAATTTGAACTGTCAAAGAATAAAACTTTTTATCTGCTGGAATTCCTTTATTGGGAAAGTGGGGCTTTAAATTAGAAGGGACTTTTGAGTCCTAAGATAAAGAAAAAGAAACATAAGTTTTAATTAATAGGTACAAGGGACAAATATATTATCATTTGTAATACTGGCTTAAATAAAAACTACATAAAAAGGAGTCCTAAAGTTTGTATTTGCACATAGGGGTGTCAATTTGAGCCCAAACTCATTCAACCCGCCCAGAGATAAATGGGTTGGGCTACAAACATTTTAGCTCATGAGTCTATTTGGGCTGAACCCAAATTAACCCATCATTTTTTATAGCTCATTCTGACCCATAAAATAACCCAAATACAACCCGTGAAGCTCATCCAAAACAAAGGGATCACAACCCAACTGAAGGCTTGTCTGGAAATTTACTTAGTTGCCCCATCATTAATTTTTGTATCTAAGTTTAAAAATGAGAATCAAGGTATTTAAGTTTTAATGTAAATATGAATAATTTTATAACTGAGTTGTGGTGAAATTTACTTATTTAGAAATAACATAAAAAATATTTTTCAACTTATAAATTTAAATACTAATTTGTTATTTAAGAAAATATATTTTGATTCTCAAAATACTAATAGTCTATTTTTTTTTTGGAAAGGAGGGAGTACTTCTTAAGTGGCCAGTACGGCTTCTTATGTTACATTGTAAAGAACAAATAATAACTACATAAATAGATATAAATCAAAGTTTGTATAGAAAATCGTATGGGTTGTTTTTCTCTAAAAGATTTAATCAACAAAGTTTTCTGAAAATTTTGTGTGGCCGGAAGGCTCTTTTCTAAATAAATTGTTTATGGAACAATTGCAACATCAAAAAAAAAAACTTCAACTAGCCAAACCTTTATCTTGCACAAAGATTTTCTGAAATATTATCTCTTTTTTTTCAACCGCTATTTTTTTTGGCCTTTTTTCTTCTTTCTTATACACTTTTAAATATTTATTTAGTTTTAGAAAGTTATAAAAGCTCATGAATAGTTGAGTATAAGATTAATCCATATGTATTTCTTAGCTAAAAATTTAAAATTAGATATATAGAAATTCATCGTCAGTGCATGGAATGAATAATTTAGGAAGAAGTTAAGAAAGTAGGGAACATACATAGGTGTATAAAAGGTAAAAGATTTTGTTTATGCAAGAAGACCATGGTTCTAAAACATGGGTCAAGTTGGACGGGTTGGATTATGACCCATTGTTTAGCCCATCTTGACCCAGCACATCTTAGCCCAAATACACTTGGACTGGGTTGGGCAATGACCAATTTATTTACTCAACCCATCATGATCCGCCCAAGTTCAGCCCAACCCGTCCATTTGCGGCCCCTATTTGCACGTTGGCCTACATCTAAAAGTCCATTATTTGTTTGACCAAAATGTGTAAATCTTCGATTAAACTAATTAGTTTTATGTAATGAGGGATTAGGCCTAGTTGATAATAATATCCCTCGATTTATAACTAGTTTAATACAAATAACGCATGATAGCGTTGGTGGTGGATTAAATGCAGTGTACATTTAATGTTTCAAGGGGAGTAATGATGGAAGAATATGAAGCAATAAATAACAATAAATGACATTAACGTAAATAAGGAGAATGATTCACCCAATATTGAATGAGGTGGATGGTTCTTCTCTTTGACAGTGATGAGTGATAAACAAATCCTAGAATATTGGAACTATTCTCAGATTTGATGGAAAAGTCTAGAATAATGGATGGTAGAATCTTCTTTGAAAGGTAGTGTTTGTATCTTTTCTTGCGAGAGTCTTCCTATCAAAAAGTGCTCTTATCCGAAAGAAATATTACATGCCCTTTCCCTTTATCTCTTTTTCTATTTATATGGGACATATCCCCAGTCAATCCTAAAAGTACCAGTACATAGAATATTTAGTAGAATATTTCCTTAAATATCCTATTAAAAAACTAGTAGTTAGTACCGTCCTTGATACTTCACCTTGGCCATTATTGACCGCCTGACTACGAGCCCCACTATCCACTAGTCGACCTCGGCCACATCACTTTTCATAATACCACTCCATACTAAATCCCATTGAGGCAAATTTTGACCTATACAGTTAGTCCCTCTGCTTATTGATGTCGACCCTGAGCGACTTAGATGAGCGGACTCTGTTAGTTATGGTTGAGAAGTTTAGATGAGCAGGCCGAGTAGTAGCGTTTCAGACGGGGTGGAAACGTAGCCTTTCGTGAGCCGCAACCCAGGGTCACGTCATTTTAGAGTGACGTCATGTCGTCATACATCATTATTACGTATTTTTCCGATACCTTGCATCGTTTCCCGTACCTTTGCCACTTCGATTCATGAGTTGGGTAACGACGATTTACTTTCTCGATATTGATGCCTGAACTCTTATAAATAGGGATACAAAATCCTTTGCCTTCCTTTTTGCAATCTAAATATTGGACCTTCATACCTTCTTCTTCCTTCCTCGTTTAGAATCCTTGCTCTTTTGATCTTACTTCCATATTCTTGCTTTCACTGATTCTGGTGGCTCCTGCTACTCTTGAATCTTCTATGTTTACACCTCCTTTATTCATAAACAAATATGGTTCACGTGTCTTCCAGTTCTGGGGGGGGGGGGGGGGAGGGGTACCTGACCCTGTTCCCTTGGCAGTGCGCATGCCTTCCCATGACGATGGGGTTGCCATTGTTGTGGAAGATAAAAGCTTTCCTATGGTGGAGGAAATAATTCTCCATAACGAGAAGGCTAGATCTGACTTTTCAAAACCACCAGAGGACGACCCTGAGGCCACAAAATCGGTGATGGACGCGGTTGCCCTTACTAATTTCAAGGCGAAGTTCAAAATTCCGGCCCAGATCGATCTGGTCCCGGCTGGTCGTGACGTGGTGTAGATTCATCGCCCTGGATACTGCGCATTCGACGCGTACCCCGTTCTATGTGGGCTACTCATTTCCTCTTCTCCTATTGGCGGAGGAATTTTGCCGCTACTACGGCGTCTGCCCGACCTAACTTTCACCTTACATCTACAAACTCATCCGCATGTTGACGAAGTACGCGGAATTGACCGGCCGCGGGATCTCTCTTCGCCACCTGATGCACTTCTTCACGCCCAATTTCTATAGGGGAACGGTATTGCATCTTTGTCGCCGAGGAAGTAAGAATTTGGTAGTGAAGATAGACGATAAAGCAAATCATCGGTTCTGGCTTAGCTACTTCTACGTGAAAACCGAGGACGTGGTGACAAATGCGAATGGCTTTCCTGAGGCATGGAATTATGCCCGTAATTATTTTTTTTACTAAACGCTTATTTTGCTCATTTTGATTGTAGCCTAACACTCTGCCTTTTCCTCGTTCAGCTGAGACTTTGCCCCCTCCTTTGATTGCGGATATTCATGACTGGGTTAGCAAGGTCTTGCCTCACACAATGAGGATTCACGAATGATCGGCCTTTATCAAGAAGTTCGGACCCAAGATTTCAGCGACCGGTGAGTTTACCCATTTTGAATCTTTATTGTTGTGGCCTTCTGGTCGCTTGCTTCTTATTGTTTTGTGGAGATCGATCTCTTAATCTTCTTTCTCTTCTCTTTTGTTTTTAGCCCGGGGATCCTCGAGGAGGTCGAAGGCCCCTACTCCTACGTTTCGCCAGATGAACACTACAATGGGGTCCACTCCTGCTATGACTGTGGCCAAGCTTGCCCGACCATCCACTTTTATTTGGCATCTAGTTTCGTCTAGATCGGCTCGATCGTCGACGGCTTCAATACCAGAGACTCTGGCCTCTCCCTTGCTTCATTTAATAGATGAAGAGTCTTCACCAAGCGAGGAGGATTTGGTTCCTCATAAAAGGAGGTCAGTGGAAGTCGGCGATGGGATAATCTGAGCCGTAGATTCTACAAGGAACGAATGCGAACCAACCTCCGTTGTGCCTAAATACGGTGCAAATTTACCGTCTGAGGTCCTGCCATCAGCGAAAACCGCAGAGAGCGTGCCCCTTCTTGATGCCAACGTTGGAACTGGTGGAGTGTCCATGGAGGTTCTGCGTACTGTGCGGCGAGATGTGCCATCGTCCTCGCCCCTCGTTGATGTTCCCACCTCATTTACCAATGAGAGAGGTAACGGGGGTTGCTGAGGATGGTTATAAGACGGGCTCCGATATGACCCTGAAGAGGTTAGGATAATGGGAGAAGGACTTACCCGGCACGAGGTGAGATTGGAGGGAACCACGCAGACCATTGCGATCCCTCTAGACCGGGATCTTCTAGTTGATACAGAGGACATAGTCCCTTCTCTTGGTTCCCTCTGTTCTAACGTGGAGGGTAAGACCCTTGAGAAACTGAAGGATTCCACATTGTCGAGGAGCATAGTCAGCCTTGCTTCTAGGGTAAGTTGGGTATTTCATTTGCATGTTCGTTCATCTAGAATCCGATTTTATTCTTACTCGCTCTGGTTTTCTTTTTAGACTGTGATCTTGGAGATCGAACGCTCCCGTCGAGAGAAGAGGCTGAAGGCCATTTTCCAAAAGATGGAATGAAAATATCGCGAGTATCGTGATAAGCACCGCGAGCTTTGCAGGTGGCTTGGTGGGAGTAGCAACTTCCGGGATCTCCTAGATGAGCTAAAAGAGAAGGATGGTGAATTAGTGAAGGTCATCGGAAAATGTAGTGAGCTCGAGGAGGCGTTGAGGGACAAGGCGGATGAGCTTGAGGTGAGCAGGGGAGTCGAGGCCCAATGCGCTGACCTTCAAGACAAAGTGAGCTTGCTGCAGGCCGAGCTCGAAGAAATTCTAATCAAGGCGGATGCTCTGGGTGG